CCGTCTCTCTCTCTTCCAGACTGGTCTAATGGCTCCCTCTCCCCTCCGCGGAGCCCTGCACTCCTGCCCCGTTCACACTTGTGCACACCACCCAGCCACACCAGCTACTTTATTGGTGACACTTCACATTCCTCCCCACAATCCCACCTGCCTATTCACACCCTGGCTCCTGCCCGCTCCCTCCCAGCCCCTCCCACGCCTCTGAATAACAACACCCTTTCAACCCACACGCTGGCCGGACCGTTTCCTTCACTGGGTCCCCCTGCCTGGCTCTCCGCCGGCTGCCTCGCCTAGCTCCCCTGGCTTCATCCTGCGCCCCTTGGGAACAACTGGGGTCCTCTTGGAGCCCAGTCCAGAACCCCCTCACTCGGCGACAGCCCAGCTCCTCTGTCGGTACTGACTTCACAAGGCAGGGCAGCTGGCCCACTGGCCTGCTTCTTTCCCTGGGCCTCAGTTTCTTCTTCTGTCACTTGGGCTGGAAGAGAAGGGCAGGGAGGGGGCTGCTGAAGATAGCAGCAGAGGTGGAACCCCACGCGCTTGGGCTGAGAGGGACCTTAGCGGGCACAGCACAGCCCTCTCCGGCGAGCCCAGTCATGGGTTGTGGCAAAGCTAGGTCTCCGGACTTCTGGGCCTATGTGGACTCGCTCACTAAGCCACTTCTCAGTGGCCTGGGGCACAGGGAACCAAAGAGAGGACGAAGGGGAGAGAGGACGGAGGGAAGGGCAGCCAGCCAGAGGACAAGGAAAGATGGGCTATTTCCGTGGGCCTTTCCCTGAGGAGGCAGGTCAGGAGGAGCCCCTGAGGGTCATTGCCTACAGTCTCAGTGCCTGGATCTCACACTACGGCGGACACAGCACCCCCTAAACCACTTCCTTCCCCCAATTCCCCTCAACACGTCCCTCCAAGGTCGCCAGGAAGCTGGCCCTGGTCTGGCCTGAGGGCATCCCAGGTGCAGAGTCTCCTGGACAATTGTCTGACTCACCCTGGCCACCCTGCACGTGTGCCCTGCCGAGCCCCCGACCCTTGCCGGAGGAGTTCAGCCTGGAGGACACAGTCCAGGGATCGAGGGGCAGCTGGCTAAGGACACGTGGACCCTGGTATGCCTGCCCGTGCAGCCGTGTCAGGGTGGCCGTGCGCTTGCGTGGGCTGTGTGTGTGTGTGTGTGTGTGTGTGTGTGTGTTCATGAGGGGGGCCTAGGTTCCCAGGGCCCAGGGATCTGGATGGAATTAGGGGCCGCTGGGGCGGGGGGCCCCGCTGGGGGGGCGGGGGGCTCCAGCAGGAAACGTGAGCTGTGAGCTGCACTCATTAGCTCCTCACGTGCTCAGCCGGATTTATAAACACAAGGGAAGCCGGGATGTAAACAACAGTGGGCAGCAGCCAGAGGCAGAGCTGGGGCGGGGGGCCGGGGGGGGGGGGCGGGGCGGGGGGCCCGGCCGGGGGGCGGGGGCCCGGTCCACCTGCACACCAGGAGCCTGGAGAGAAGGATGGGAGCGGGCTCCACGATGCCCACCTAATGCTCCCTCCTAGGGACGCAGGTGAGCCCAAGCCTCACTGAGTTCCGGGGCTCACAACTAAGCCACAGGTGTTCTCTGCCCCGGATGGCCGTCAGTTTGCCGCCTGAGATATGGGGACACCTTGCCCAGAGTGGAAGCCAGAGCCTAGAGCCCTGTCTCCTTTCTCCTTCCTAGCCTCTTCTCCCTCTAGATACCTGAGACCCCTTCCTTCTTACTGGTTCTCTCCATGGGCCGGTCAGTCCGATCTTTCTGCAACTTCCCCTGCCCCCCCCACCTCCCCGCCTGCAGTGACACAGTTACCTCAGAACTGAAATATTCCTGGAAACACCGGCCTCGTCTGGTTAATTTCATGAGCCGTTTTTCTGCCCAGATGACTTAGTTCTTGTTTATCCAAAGGCTTCTCCCCCTGCTGTCCCTGTGTAGGGAGCCAGTTCTCCCCAGGGATGTGCCACAGGGCCCAGAAGAGGAGGGGAAAACAAGACCCAGAGCTGGGTTCCTGACCTGGTGGCCCCCCCCCCCCCCCCCCCCCCACCACAGCAGGGGCAAAACTCAGTCCCGGAACCATGGACCGAAAGGCTGACCAAAGCAAGGTCGGGGAAAGAGGTGAGCCCAGCTCCCAATGTGGGCTTCAGCTGGGACCCTCAGCTGCTAACTGTGAGTGGGGCCAGACTCAGTCCCGAAAGCTACCTCAAGCCTGGAAGGGCTGCCGCTCTCCTCAGCAGGTCTCCGCCTCCAAAACACCCCATATTGTACCCTTAGGATCTTGGAGGTGACTCTGCCAGATATCCAGGCTGAGGGTAGCCCCAGGCTTCGTGCAGAGAAGGGCCTGGAGTCGTCTTGGAATATGAGGAAGAGTAAATAGAAAGGAACACAGAGTCAGCAGGAAAAGGCCGAACGAGGAAAGAAGCACCAGGAGGGAGGCCGCGGGCTGCAGATGCGGACAAGGACAGGGGAGCAGTCATGTGCCTGACACCGCGCTCTGTCCTAACGCACGCACGCACCCATGCACTCAGACCAAGTCCCTCGTCCCTAAGAGCAGGGTCTCTGAGACTGGTGTTCCCCCCACCCGACCCACTCCCCTGCTCTATCAGTAAAGTTGCCAGCCACCACGCATCTTAGTGAGTCTAGACTGATGGCCTGGGCCGCTGCGGAAGTCCCCACCTGACCCCTACACTCTGTGAGAGGCATTCTGTACGGTTTGAGTCGTAAGCCCTCTCCAAAACCTTGACCCAGCATTATGACTAACTCCAAACTCCCCCTAACTCAGTACAGTCAAACTGTCAAACCCGTATCCAACTCATTTCTAACTATCACAGCAACATATGTCATGATAAAAATTTGAAAGTCGAAAATAGAAAGTAGAAGAAACGACTCATGAGCTCAACACCTACCCAAGCTTAAAACCCAGACCAGCCCTACTCTTAGTGACATGCCATGCATTACCCCATCTGACATCTAAATCAACACATTAATAAACCTTAGCCCCAGCCAACCCTGTGCCTGTCCAAACCTCACCACATCCCCCAGCTAGACTCAAACCTCAACCACACTCAGTCAGCCAAATCCCAATAAACTAACCTGAAACTTTAAAAGTAACCCAGTCCTTAAACCTAACCTAGCCCCATACCAATTATAGCCTTGCCCTATCCTAACCCTAATTGCCTTTACCCAGTCCCGGTGCCCACTGACTCCTGGCCTAGTGCTCTTTACCTTGGCCCACACCTAAAAGCTGGGAAAATCATGTTTCCCAACTGCCTATGGGTATCTTCACATTATCAACCCCTGGCCTCTGGTATCCCAGGATGTCCAAACTCTCCAGCACCATCAGCTGACAAGCCAAACCCATCAGATACATCATATTCCCCCTCTTTCTCTCTTTCACATCCCCCACCCCGACCCTCTTTACTGTAGGTTCATCAGAAGACCTCACTCAGGTCAAACTTTTCCCCATCCAACCTCCTAGATAAGAATGGGGCAAACCTCCACCCCTCAGCTCCACACCCAGGAATCCTGTTCAAGAATGTACCCACCACTGACTGCATGAGCCAGCCCTCTGTCCTTCAGCCTGACCCCCTTCAAGCCTACCCCTTGCCTCCTGTGGCTCTCTGTGTGGACTCATCTCAGGGTGGCCTCTCTTGTGCCCTTCCCGGGGCTGACTGCTGGCAGCTGGCAGAGAGACATGTGCTGTTTGCCCCCCCCCCCCCCACCTTGGCTCCCTAAACTGCAGAGGGTCTGGATTCAGAGTCCCTAGGCCTGGCCCCGTCCCTCCACGTACACACACATACGCATTGGTATACGTATACTGGCTCTTTCTTAGCTGACACACAAATATGCTTTCCGATATATACTGGTAGATACACACACAGAGGCCAAGTTCTCGTCCTCAAACACATACATGCCTCCATACACACACACACACACACACACACACACACACACACACACCCAGGCCAGGAACGCTCCCCTCCTCCATCCCCCCTGCCTCCCATCTGGCGGCCCACCCTCACCAACCCTGCGCCCGGCCCAAGGTGGGGACAGACACCTGAGGGGCTGCCAGCTGGGCATCCTCCACTGGGCCTGGGCCCGCCCTCATGTTTCTCGCCCCTCCTGCCCGCAGGGGACTCGTGGGGGATGCTAGCTTGCCTGTGTGCTGTGCTCTGGCACCTCCCTGCAGTGCCAGCCCTCAACCGCACGGGGGACCCAGGGCCTGGCCCCTCCATCCAGAAAACCTACGACCTCACCCGCTACCTGGAACACCAACTCCGCAGCTTGGCTGGGACCTACGTGAGTATCCAGGGCAGCTGAAAGGTCTGGGAATTGGCAAAGAACGAGGAGAGAAGATGGTGGAAGAGAGACAGAATGGTGGAGGGGTCCCGGTGAGCAGTGGTCACCAGGGGGCCCTTTGGTTCCAAACGGTCCCCATGTCTGGCCCATCTCCTACCCTTCCCTCTGAGGTGCCCCCCTCCTTCCCATCCCTGGCCCCAGGACTAGGCATGTGGGCAGGCCTCGCACCCGCCTTGGCCCACTGCCCCACTGGCTGCCGGCCCAGCCGCCCGCCTCCCCCTGGGGGCCGGGGAAGTCTCTTCTGTTTACACCGTGTTGTGGTGTCTCTTGCACGGGCGGGGCTGGGTGGGGATGGAGGGGCCCCACCTCCCATGCCTGCGTTCCAGCTCGCCTCTGCCCCAGACCTGGGGCCCTGCTGCTCTGGACCCATGGGCCTCCCTTCTGTCTGCCTCTCCCATCCTAGCTGGGCCTCCTAGGGGGGACTTGGGGGGAGGGGGCTGCGGGGAAGATAGGCCAGTAGTGGCAGGAGGTTCAGGGTGTGGATGGAAGTTGTGCCATAAGGATTTGGGGGCAGTCCAGAGGTGTTCAGAGAGCCCAGGAGAGAAGAAAAGAGGGTCAGAGTTGCCGAGGACCATGGGGAACCGGCCCCCTCTTCCCGTGTTCCTCTTCCACATCCCAGACCCTACTCTGGAGCCAGGGAAAGAAAGGGGAGGAGGGTGGCGGGGGAGCTGGCTCCAGCCCCAGGATACACCGAGGAAATTAGTTTGTCTCTGTGCTTGTCAGCGTGTGAACCTCCCCCTGGGCCCTTGCCTATCCCAGGCCTCGCCCCTCTCGTCTCCCTTTCTCTCCAGCTGAAACGTCCCCCTCAGCCCTTTCCCTGGGCCCCAGGCCTCTCCCTTGAGGGTTGGCAAAGCTCTGTCCTCTTCCCTAGACTGCCTCCTATACCCTTCCTCCTGCCCAACTCTTGAGACTGCCTCAGTTTCTTCCTTCTGCAGCCCTGCTCCTAGGAGCTCTTCCTTGGGGGGACTTGCTGCTTAGTGAGTACCATCTGCCCCCTGGCCTTCTGCTGGTGGGACCAAGCGTGTTGGGAGGCAAATGGAGCTCTGATTCCCACGGGCCCCTCTGCCTTCCCACCCGCTTTTCCCTTCCCTGGCCAAAAACCTTTGCCTGACTCTGCTACCCCCTCTAGCTCCCGACCCTTTTTCTCTCCTGGCCTTCCCTGCCAAATTTCTCGAAGGAGTGGTCTACACCCTCTGCCTCCGCTTCCTCTCCACCCACTCACTCCTTAACCCCCTGCAATCTGGCCTCCAGGCCACTGAAACGGCTCTCTCCAAGGTCGGCAGGCACCTCCTTTTCGCCAAACCCAACAGAATTTTCTAAGGCCCATTCCCCTTGCTCTCTGTTTTGCAGCCACACTGTCGAGTACTCCTGCCTTCTCGAACTCCTCTTCTTGGCTCTGCACTCTTCTGGTCCACCTTCCACCTCTGCGGCCTGGCCACCTGGGTCCTTCCGGCTCCTCTTCCTCTCTGCTCTGCCCCGTGGTGGGCACGCTCCCAAGGCTTGCACACACGGCCAATCAGCACGTCCTCCCCGAGTATCTCCTGCGTGTTTTTCTCTTCCTACACCTCTCATCAACCCCCACTGCCTCAACCGCCACCTCCATGCAGATGACATCCCTGGAGAAACTTAGGGGAGGCCCTCGCACAGAGAGGCCTAGCGAGGAGATGGGGCCAGTGTCAGGGGACACAGGAAATAGGAGCTTTGGGAGCAGGTTATCTCCCGGTGGCCCTCCTCCTCCTCCTCCTCCTCCTCCTCCTCCTCCTCCATCGCCCTCTCCTTTTCACAGCTGAACTACCTGGGCCCCCCTTTCAACGAGCCTGACTTCAACCCACCTCGGCTGGGGGCAGAGACTCTGCCCAGGGCCACCGTCAACTTGGATGTGTGGCGGAGCCTCAATGACAAACTGCGGCTGACCCAGAACTATGAGGCCTATAGCCACCTTCTCTGCTACTTGCGTGGCCTCGACCGCCAGGCCGCCACGGCCGAGCTGCGCCGCAGCCTGGCCCACTTCTGCACCAGCCTTCAGGGCCTGCTGGGCAGCATCGCGGGCGTCATGGCAGCTCTGGGCTACCCGCTGCCCCAGCCTCTGCCCGGAACCGAGCCCACCCGGGCCCCCGGCCCTGCCCACAGCGACTTCCTCCAGAAGATGGACGACTTCTGGCTGCTGAAGGAGCTGCAGACCTGGCTGTGGCGCTCGGCCAAGGATTTCAACCGGCTCAAGAAGAAGACGCAGCCCCCGCCAGCGGCGGTCACCCTGCACCTGGAAGCCCATGGCTTCTGATCTCTGACCTTTACCGCCTCCTCTCTCCTCTCCTCCCTCAAATCCTGCTCCCACTCTGGGAGGGAGAAACCCGTATGCCAACATCTGTTGAGCCAGGAGACAGAAGCCATGGGCCTCTGGCCCTCTCCGGACTTGGAAGAGGGCATGGTCGACAGGGCCTGTCCCCTCCCCGCTTTCCAAAGCCCTGCAGGTCTCGTCCACAGGGAGGAGCGCTCCCGGGGGCAGTGGTTCAAGTTGGTGCGAAGGCTCTCACAGCTTCCTGCTTCCTGCCCGGCACTTGCCGGCGCCCACACGGCCCCTCACGCGGCACTTCCAGGAAGCATGCCCGTAGGCAGGGAGGGGGGCCACCGCAGCATGTGCCTTTCTGGGGCGGGGGGAGCCCGTTGGCTGCCCCACTCTCCTTGGACGGGCGTTGTTCCCCTATCCCCAAATAGCTCAGTACATCCAATTCAGGAAACACACACGGTGGCAAGTCCAAACGGGAAGAAACGGGATTTAAAAGCGGAAGAGGTGGGATCTGCATTGGAGGTCATACTAAAAGCATAGGGGCAGGGACAGAGCGGACCCACGGCTCACCAAGGCAGTCGGTGGCACAGGACGGCAGCCAAAAGGACCTTGCCTTGCATCTTCTTGCCGGCATCATGGTGCCTCCTCTCCACCCCCTTTCCAGGGTATCTGTGGGTTGCCCAGGCTGGGGAGGGCAACCATAGCCACAGCCACAGGGTTTCCTGAAAGTTTACATTGCAGTAGCATTTCGGGGTGCGGGGGGCAGCTCCCCCAGGCCCTGCCCCCCCAGCCTCACCCACTCATGACTCTAAGTTTGTTGTATTAATATTTATTTATTTGGAGATGTTATTTATTAGATGATATTTATTGCAGAATTTCTATTCTTGTATTAACGAATAAAATGCTTGCCCCAGGACTTCATCTCTTTGCTTGGCCTGGTGCTTCCCCTCCTGGGCCCCCGCGTGCCTGGTGGCTTGGAGCCTGGCAGTCCAGGGCAGAGCTCGGAGAGGCAAAGAGCTTGGGGAAGAGGCTCTGCCCTGTCCACAGAGCGCGGTGCCCACAGCACCCTCTGTTCCTCCACCCACGGTGCGTCCCTTTAGTCCTTCCAACATCTTCTTGTCTGGCCGCGTGTCTTCCCCCTCCCGGCCTTTGCTCAGCCCGCCTCCCCTCTCTGGATTACTTTAAAGATCTCATAGGTCTCTCTCCCTGCGAAGCTGTCCACCTGCGCCTCTGGTAAGCCACGCGCGGTCAGCCCTCAGCTTCACCGGGACCCCCACCTGTGGTGGCCCCGGGCAGTGACCCTTCCCTTCTCAATACCCTTCCTCTCCTAGGGAGTGTGACTGACTGTGGCCATGTCACAAGTCTCAGGCGTGACTCTACTCCCTTCTTGTAGACTCTTTTCAGTGTAAGACAGCAGGTTGGGGGGGGGGGGGGGCGGGTGGGTAAGAGAAAAACTCATACTGGTCTGCAAAGCGAATGGGATAGATGTGACTCAGGGATGACCTCAGCTCCAAGCCCAGCCTCAGGGCCTCCTAGCTGAGTGACCTTGGACAAATTACTTAAAGCTCTCTATTCTCTGATTTCCCCATCTGTGAAATGGGGATAATTAAATACCCTTCTAAGACTGTTTGAAGGATGAGAGAGACAATAAAGGTAAGGTGCCCGGCCGCGGCCGCAGCCGCAGCGAATAGTGATCTGATCTCCAGTTATTTGTGACAGACTGGCCTGCACTGACACTCTCGTGAAGAGCCACTGGGTCAGCTAGGGGGCTAACTGCTCCCAGGTTACACAGAGGTATTTCACCAGGGCCTCCGCGAGACAGTGCCCTAAGCACAGAGAGTAACAAATGATGGTGACGTCAATCAGTTGACGAATCTTGCAAAGGTCTGCCCATCACTGCGCCGACTGGAGTAGGAAACCCAGCAGAAGTCTGAGACCTGACTTGGCTCCTGCCCTTATGGAGCCTGCGATCTCTCTGGGAAGAGAAGACCAGCTGACCTGAAACTACTGACAGGTGCGTGAGCGTAGGTGCATGAGCTATTGGACTTGCTTGTGGGCGAGCCAGGTCCTGCTGAATGTCCCAGAGTCACCTGGCCCAAGTTGGAAGGAACATGCCCCGCCAAGGGGTCCGGGCCCTTCAGGCAGACATATCTGCCCAAACCCTGTCTAGATATCCTGCGGGCCTGCTTTCTGCCTAACGAGAGGGAGGAGAGGGCATCCGGGCTGTCTCCACATCGCAGCAAAACCTAGCAGCCTGTAATGTGCAAGGCAGCAAACAAGGGGGCTATGCAGAATACAGGAGAAGGAAGATATATCCCATACCACTGTACTGTGTGTTTCTTAGGGGCAGACTCTGAGTTTTCCCCACCTCTCTATCCCAGTTCAGGCTCAAGCCCACGGAAGGTGTTCAGTTAGTGTGTCGAACAAAACACTCGAGAGAAGGGACTGGGACTCCCCCCGCCCTCCCTTGCTCCAAATGCTAGAATCCAAGGCAGAATTGGATCAACTGTGGAAAGACACAGGCAAAATACTTGGAAGTCAGGGAAGGAGCGATCGCGTCCCTTCAGCGAGGGTGCTGGTCTGTAAGTCCTCTCAGGGAGGCAGGGGTGTCTGCAGCCACCACTGTCCTTCCAGTGCCCAACACACAGTAGGTGCTTCTGCACAGACTCTCAGGGTCGGGCATGGACAAGGGCAGGGCAAGGGTCAGTTCAGTGTGTCTGTCTCCCTTGTAAGCAGATAGCATCTCGAGGGCACGTTCCACAATTTATTCATCTTTGCATCCCTCTAGCATTTTAGCACAATGCCCTGCACCGAACTAAAGTACTTGATAATTTAATATAAGCCGATTTAAAGAGTGTCAAGACAATAGTGTATGAGAAGCCAAGAGAAGAGAGTTTTAGGGAGGCAGCTGATCAACAGTGTCAGATGCCCCAGAAGCGCTAAGAGAAGAATTTGGGGGAAACCCACTGGGAAATTGGGAGGTCACAGGTGACCTTTGCGGGGAGCATTTGGGAGGTAGACTCCAACTGTGAGATTAAAGGAGGGAGTGAGAAAGAAGGAAAAGGGGTGAATGTATTCTCTCCAGGCATTTGGTGGCAGGATCAAGGAAGGCTTTTTGTGCGGTTGGTTGGTCTGCTGTTGTTTTTAAACAGAAGAGATGTAAACGTGAAATGGCTGCGGGAGGGGTGGGAGCTGGAGAAGAATGGAGAGGGACAAGCAGAGGAAGGGAATCAAAAGGGCTGTTGGCCAGCCACATGGAGCCAGGTGACACCAGCACACACATCTCTGTCATGGATTGTGACACCCCCTAGCAAGCCAGGGATGGCAGGAGGGGAGGACAGGGTGAAAAGAGGGCACCTCCCAAGGCCGAGGACTGACAGGGCAGGAATGGCAGAGACTCGAGGGTCGAGAGACTCCAGAGAGCTCGAAACGGTGCTTCTGAGTGGCCGGGAGCTGCAGCACACGCGGGGCCTCAGAGCCGGGCCTGCGGCAGATGGAAACAGGAGGAGAGCAACCGGGGAAGGGCGGGCAAGCACACAAGTTCGCCCGGCTGAGGACACAGAGGGGGCGTCATGAAGAGTAAGGTGGGGGAGGCGGACACAGGGGACAGCTGAGCCGGAAAGGGCATCTCAGAGTCTGAATTCTTGAACTCTCCCCCAGATAGCCCCCTACTGATGGTGACTGATGGTGTCGGGGTAGGAGCCCGTCCTTTGGGTTTTGGAGCTTCGGACCGTGAGCAGGTGGCTCTGGGTAAATGACAAGTCATCAGGCTCTTCTATGAGTCCGTTGTTGGTTCTCCACCCACCACTGCTCCGGGACCGGTGGTGAGTCTGTGTCGGTTACTCAGGTTCCACCTCTTAAGTGTGGCCTTAGCGTCAGGGGCCCAGGTACGCAGAGGTCAGCTTAAAAACCTGGAATGCCTGGGGCCTGCGGTGCCATGGGAAGGAGGACATTATCTCTGGAAGTCTTTCTGTCCCAGGAAGGCTAGGGAGAGTAGGAGGGAAGGAGAGAAGCTCTCCTCCCCATCCTCTCCATCCAGACAGCACAGAGCGGATTAGGAAGCTCGGCATCCTCTTGGGTATCTGGAAACGCACCCGTGTGTGCGAGGATGGGCGCGAGTTGGCGAACGGTCCCTCGGGAGAGGCAACTTCGGGGGCAGGGGTGGGAGTGGGTGTGGAAGAGGTGGAGGGTGGCCAAAGGCCGGTGACGCCTTGCCAGCTTCCTGCCTTTGCAAAGACTGACCCAACATCCAGGACTCAGGGCCCTCGCAGTATGTGAAGAGACTCATTCAAGTGCTCGTCTTACAGACCCGCGCACACATTCGCCCACTCGCCACAGCCACCCCGAATGGGGAAGGGCCAAGGGAGGCCCTTGTTCCCCTTAACCTAGAGGGTAAGGGCCAGTGATCCGGGCCCCTGACTGAGTGCTCTGATGGGTGGTTCCCTCTCAGCTCCCCCTTCTTCTCTGGAGCCACAACTGTCCCTGCCTTTGTCCCTTCAGTTCTTGAGCTCCCTGACTCAGCCTGGTTCCCCAGTTCCCAGCAGTAGACAAAGCCCTTGTCAGTGGGGTGGGGGTGGGGACAATGAGGAAGTAGCTGTGAGCGTTAGAACCAGAGTTCCAGCCCTTCCTCTCAACCTTCAGGGTCTTCCAGCCTCCCTAGTGCAGAGGTCACCCCTAGGCCCCTCCCCAACTTGCCCTGACCTCTAAGGCCTGGCCAACCGGGTGGAAACGAACTAGGACCTTCCTCCCAGCTAGACAAAGTCTGACACCTGGTGGCCAAGGTGAGAAATGGCCAGAAGGATCCCTTTTCAACTGTTCCCAGAATTTCTCCAGGGCCAGCTGGCCAAGGTGACAGGGGCAGTAATGGGAGAAGGCTCCGAGGGGATGGTTGGGACATAGCAGAAAAGCCAGCCAGTGGCAGAAAAACCCAGATGGAGGGGGACCTTTGCCTTCCATCAGGCTCCTGCCCCTCAAAGCCCACAAGGCCAGAGAACCTGGAGCCGGGAGAGGTGGGGTGTCTGGGATGGACTAGGAGGAGTTGCCTGAAAGAATTCTGGTCCACAGGGTGGGGAATGGAGCCCATGGTGTGTGGGCATGTGGGTGGGGGGGGGGGCCAGGGATACGAGTCTGGCTGCCCAGAATCTCTAGCTCCAGGTGGGTGGCAGGGCCTGAGGGCCTGAGGAAGGGGATGCTGGGGGGAGGGAAGGAGAGCAGGCTGCACCCACAGTCTGCTGGGCCCCAGGCAGCTGCTTCTCTATACCTGCCCCAACCTTCCTGGCTCTAGCTGACTCTCTCCACGACGAGCCCCACTGTGAGCTAGGGGAGGGAGAAGGGGCTCCTAGGGCACCTGTGCAGTGCTGAGGGGGGCCCCCCCCCCCCCCTGCCACATTGTCTGAGCTAAGCCAGGCCTAATCCCCTTCCCCTCGGAGCAGTAGACAGTGGGCCTCAGCCTTCAGGAAGGTGCTGGGCTCCTGTTCCGGTCTTCGCTCTCCGTTTCCCTTGGGTTCCCCCAAGACTTCGGTCTTGGCCTCAAGCAAGGCCCTTGAGTGTTCCCAGGCTGAGATGCATCGGCCACTCCTGCCAGTCCCATAACCATCCTCTGGGGGTCAGAGCTGACCCGGAAACAGGCTCCTGGGTCTCAGGAAACTCTCTGAAGGAGGGAGAACTCAGCTCCTAACTCAGACCTCTGGCCTGGCCCTCCAGCCTGAAGCCCAAATTGTGATAGGCCCCACGACAGCAGTTTGGGGGATAGGCTGGGAGGCTGCTTGAGTAGGGACAGGGGTTCCAGGAAGAAAGGAGATGGGGGCAGACAGGAAGGGAAGGAAGAAGGACAAGACCTGTTGGGTGGGTAGGCCGAGTTACAGAAGGATGCCAGTTGGACAGGGATGGCTCCAAAGCTCCTGGGTGGCAGCTCCTTTGAG